AAAAAAAAACTAAATACAGTTTTAAATCATTTTAGTTTTTAGTTTTATAAATTTCCCTTTGCTTTCTCTTCTTTGACCTCTATCATTTCTCATGCTCCCTCCTTTGTTTAACTAAAAAACCAAAAACCAAAAATACTAAACACTAATTCCTAACGACCCTTTATATATAGCCCAACAGAAGCACTAGCACCAACAGAAATTCAAAACACTTGAGAATCAAACCAAAACTTGCTCTCATCATCAATGGAAGAGTTAGAGAACCCAATAGTGATGGCAAAGGTCATCACATTCCTCTCTTCCCTGGTTCAAAGGGTGGCTGAATCAAACGACATCAATTGTGAATTCCAACCCAAGAAAATCTCAGTCTTCCATGGCCAAACCAGGCCCCCCATATCAATACAGAGCTATTTAGAGAGAATTTTCAAGTACGCCGATTGTAGCCCATCTTGCTTAATTGTTGCACATGTTTATCTGGATCGGTTTTCTCAGAGGCAACCCGATTTGCCTATCAATTCGTACAACGTTCACCGGTTGCTGATTACTAGTGTCATGGTGGCTGCAAAGTTCATGGATGACATGTAAGTGTTGAAGTTGGATTTTATTAGCTTATGATGAACAAATTTTGGAAAATCTATTTGGCTTTGAAGTTTTGGTGTTTGAGTTACTTAGATGATTTTTTTATTCAAGTTATTTAGTTTTAGTTACAGAAGTGAATTTTAAGCCGGGGAAATTCAAAGGGAGATCATTCAAAGATTTTGAATTTGTTTATGTGGCCATTTTGTATTGTGTTCATCTAAATATAGAAGTTTTGGAATATTCTGTTTCATGCATGAATGTAGATGGAAACTGAATATGATTTTACTGGAATATTTTGGAATCTTCTGGCTCAAGTGGTCATCACTGACAGAAAATTTTGTGCAATGTCAAAGCTTTTTTGTAATGAGATCTATTTTCAGTTGGTTTATCCCCAAATAGGTATGCCAGAATTAACTAATCTCCATGTAATATTATTCAGGTACTACAACAATGCCTATTATGCAAAAGTTGGAGGCATCAGCACAATAGAGATGAATTTTCTTGAGGTGGATTTCCTTTTTGGTTTGAACTTCAACTTAAATGTGAACCCCTCAACCTTCACCACCTACTGTTCCTACCTCCAGAGAGAGATCCTCTTACTGCAGCCTCCTCTAGATTCTGCAGATTCTTCTCTTAGTTTAGGCAAATCGCTAAAGCTCCACTTGTGCTTTGATGAGGGTGAAACCTCCCATCAGCAACAGCAGCTAGCTGTTTAATTAAAAGCTCTTGGAAGGGTTTCCCCCAAAAACAGTAGTGGTTGAGGTAGTGATTTTTAGTACTTCTAAAAGTACTATATTTGGGCTGGCAAAATGAACATTATATATTTTTGTCAGCGTTTTCTTTTCTTTTCTTTTTTGGGTTTTGTAATTGAAGTTATGTACAGATGAGTCTTGAATTTCCAGTCTGGAGAAGCAAAGCAATGCCTCTAAATAGCTTGTTTGGTTTATATATACTTGTTCTTATCCATAAATGTTAGGGTTCTCTCTTGACTCTTAGGTTGCCATGCATGCATGGCAATTTGCTCACACTTGGTCAGAATTTGGAAGGAATTTGAGTGGCGAGTATAAAACCTTATTTGGTGACGTGGGCAAAGCACTCTTTTATTTCATTGTAGTCATATTTGGTGTTGTAAGTTGGTTTTGGTTGACAGTTATTGATCTTGAGCTGGGAACAAGGGACATGTGCAATCATGGGCCACTGATCCGATCCGATAACCTGTTAAGTTAACGAAATAAAGTTGGATCTTGTTTAATCCGATTCGATAATAATTCGATCTGATTTGATATAACATATATTTCTAAAGTTGGATCTTGCTTAATCCAATTCGATAATAATTCGATCTGATTTGATATAACATATATTTCATTTTATTTTATTTTTACTTACTTAATATATATGCATATGTAACAATCTTGTTAATTTTGAAAATAAATAAAAAAATTTTAAAAAAATTTATATATTACATAAAAGAATTCGGATCGGCTTATCAAATCTGATATCAAATAATTCAAAAAAATTGAATATAGATCTAATTGTTAATGATCTGTCATATTTTTGGATAAAATCGGGTTGGATTTCAGATGCTCCGCTCTATCTCTGACTCATTTCCAGGCCTATTGGTAGGGGGAGAGAGAAGAGAGAGAAGTTTAGAATTTAAATTCCTACTAGTACTGAGTTAAAATTAAAAAGGCTGGCTTAGATCAATGATTTATTTTCCTAACAATCTTCATTTGAGAGTTCTAGAATCCTACATAAATTGAATCAAAAGTGTTTGAAAAAAGAACACCCTGCATCTAATAGTGAGCAAACCCTAGACACTCTCCTCCCTCACTTGTGTGGGTTGATCGGGATAAACTAATTTCTCTTTGTCGTGTGAGAACCAAAAATGCAACAACCTTCGAATTCGTGTTATTGTTTGTCCCAAAAGTATTCACGAATTCTCTTGAGTGATCCCACTATCATGCCCTCATTGGAATCAGTGACGGATCTGGGATTCAAAAGCCGGTCAAATGAAACTTACATTAAAAACTTGACATATGAGTGAATTTCATTAATAAACATAGAAAAATTATAC